TGTTGTGAATAACTACCAGAAACCTACCAAAACAACTTTCTATGAAAATACTCAGACATGATAAATTGAAAATAATAAATAAATAAATTGAAAATAATAAATAAATAAATAAATACTCAGACATGATAAATTATTGTAGATAAAAGAAAAGTTTTGTTCCTTTATGTAATCTGCTTCTCCTCCACAGAGGAATCGAATAAGAGTTTTGTGATGGCAGAAAACTGGATGTGGCGCTAGGGTGAACTTCAACTTTTTTCTGCAATTTGAAGCAAAATTCTCAGGCTTTTGTCTAGTATATTTGTATTTACAAGCAGTAGAGTTTGGATAAAAACATAGAACAAGAAAAGGGATTTAAAGGGTGAAAAGTCAATATTAGAACAAAGGACCTAGTTACCTAGTTGTTGATTTTGCATTTATACCATGGCATTTTGATCCTTGCAGAGTTTGTCTTTTTGAGTAACAAACATGAAAGAGAATAGTAGCCAGAAATGGAGAGATGAGCAAAATCTGAATTCCTGTTATTCCACTTGAGAAAATAGGGAACATTTTGCATTCCAAGTTTAGTTATCAGATTGCTTTTCAATGAACTAGTGTCTGATTTCTTGACCCATAATAACCATGCTTCTTATTTATTTATTTATTTATTTATTTGCCCAAGACCATGAGGTCCTAATTAATGTGACATTTCTCTGGTTACTGCTGACTAGACAGTGGTGACCCAAGAGGGCTGCACAGCAACTCTGCTCAACAGGGACAGGGTGACTTAGCCTGCCCAAATTTCTCTGCAGAAGTCTAGGTTGAATAGCCAGATCACATTGGTTCACTGGTTGTATTATTAAAAACTAAAGGACACAGAGGAAGAAAAGAAAGGAGTTGAGGACGTCTAAGCTGTGAGTAGGCGGAAAGTGCAAGTAAGGAACAGCTATGAATGGGAGAAAGGTGTTCAGAGTAGACACAGGAAAGAGTCCAGGGCAGGCTGATAGCGGCAGGGGCCATACAGTGACAAGAAGGAATAGGTGTTGGTTAGTTAATGATGGCATATTTTTAGGGACACCAACTTCTGCTGCTAGGAGGAACCCATACTCCATCCCAGTCCTGGGAAGCCCAAACATTGGGGAGGTCACCTCCTTTCTGTCCCTCTATGCTGGTGGGGCCTCCAGGGAGGCCATGCTGTAGTTCTTCCCATCTTTACATGCAAACGTTTATTCCTTGAGACATGTTCAATGGGCTCTGTGCACCTTGTGATCACAGCAACTTGACTGACAGTGTGCATTTGTGTCCCTTGTCACAAAGTGTAGGTTCCACGTTCTCATAGCTGACAAGTGAAGGAATAAGATAATCCCATCTTGACAAGGAACAAATTTCAAGAATGATTTTCACCATTTCCTCCCAAACAAGATGCCAGATAGCAGATGTGATGAAAATGCCAGTTGCATTATCACAGCTATCATGTCACATAGATGGGTGTTAAATTTTGTTGTTGTCTTAGGTGTTTTTGATTTGTCTCATTGCATTTTTTATATCTATCTATCTATATATCTATATATCTATATCTATATACTCTATTGAAAATCATTTTAGGGAGTAGCTTGAATGTGTTTCCATGGACCCTGTGAAAAGCAGTGATTCTCAATACCAAATGAATGTAACTTTTGCCAGTAGGTCCAAGCAAAGAAAGGATTTAGGGGGTTCTAGAAGTTTGGCAAAGAAGAGGGAGATGGCCAGGGCCGCCTTAGAGAGTGCCATAGTCCTTGGTGCTACCACATGAGAGCTGAATTATTTCCAGAGTTTTAGTAAGAAATTAATCTCCCAGCCTCATCCAGTGACAGCTCCTTATTAGGGTGGAAAAGTCGGTAACTTTAATTTACTCATTCAACACAGATTTTCTCAGTGTTTATCCAAGACATGGAACAAAAGAACTTTCCTCACAAAGCATTCAGACTGATAGGAGAAGACGGATGATTAAAACTGATTATCTCCTTTTGCAATGAATTGCTTAATTCCATTCGCGGAGCTGGCGTGAAAGGGGAGCCCAGTGTACCGTGTTCTTGGGTCTGGAAGGGATGATGGGTACACTCGGGAGGGGGGACCAAGATCAGGTTGCTGCTGTCTGAACGCAGCTCTGGGAGCTGCGAGGGAAGGGGGTCAAGTTCAAGTTCATCTGAGCCCAGGGCACATGGGAAACTTCAGTCACTGGCAGCCAACAGAAATACTCCAGCTCTTCTGTCAAACTGCAATTTCAATGGCAATGGCAGGTTTTTGTATTTTTAATAAAAGTAAATTCTCCATGGACAAGTTAGGGTGTATGTGTCCGAATTTATGTCTACACACACCCTTTCATTATTCTAATCATGACTTACTCCACTTTGAAGACTCAGCAGGCTGCAGAGTTAATTACACATACAAAGTTTCACTAGTGTAGAATACTTCCTTTCCTTTTTCTTTTGATAATTGGCTATTGCATAGGCTTTCCTATATCTTTGCTTCCTCCCTGAAAATTTCTTGAAGAAGTATGTGCTTGCTGGAGCTTATTGTCCCATCTGCAGCACAGCCTTTGATTAAAATGCTGCTCTGTGCTGTTTTAGATTTCACAGATTCAGGGTTCGTTATTCCCATCTGAGACGTGACATGAGTTAGTTATGCCACATTAGCTAGCCAGTGTAGGGAAAAATGATTCCCAATGCATGAAAGTCACTGGTATTTATTTAGAATACAAAGTTGCTTTCAGGTAGATCATGGCTTTGCTTACACAAGAGTTTTGAACATCTACCTCCTTTATAAGTCCAAAAATATATTTGTGTACTTTCCCTTGGGCTATGTAAATTAATGATTGAAATTATTTTGGACATATTTGCATATTTGAGTTCCCAAATGAATGCCTAGTAAGGTACTTGTTGTGGGAATGCTCACGGATAACAATGTTCCCTGGCTACAGGAATATCTTTCTTTCTTTTTTTATTTTATGGAGAAAAGATAAAACAAAATTTCATAACAAAAGAGTAGGAGAATACATTGCATATTGTTATCTTTGAAGTAGTTATTCAGAGTACAACAAGTAGGCATTAAAATTTATCTAATCAATATTAGCACCAACCTTCCTTTTCAGTGAGGTAAGAGACACTAATAAAATAACTGACTTGCATTTTTTTCCTTTTCCCCTTCCATCCTTTCCTGTTTCTCTCATCCTCGATCTTTTTTCCTTTTGAACAATTTCTTCTCATTTCACAATATCTATTGTACATTTTAGACTTTATTTATTCTTTCAGTTTCTCACACCAGGGAGACAAGGTGATGTTTACACGTGTGGGTCTGATCTATTTCACTTAGGAGTATGGTCTCAAGTTTCATCCATTTATGTATTAAAGTCTCAAGTTTATCCTTCTTTATGGCTGAGTAATACTCTCTTGTATAAAAATACCATATCTTTTTTATTCATTCCTCAGTTGATGGGCATTTGGGTTGTTTCCAAGATTTAGCTATGACAAATTGCGCTGCTATAAACATGGGTGCACATCTATCGCTGTGGTGTGATGCTTTTAATTCTTCTGGGAGGATTTTTTTTTAACTCCCAAGATGTGATATGTAAACTGATTTCTCAACGATGTGATCCTTTTTATTTTTAAGTAGTTCTGTGGTCCCTCTCTAGTGTCATATTTATGTTGGAACATGCAGTTTCTTCTGTATGTGAGCCATCTTCCTACTGGTTTATGTTTCTCTTAGTGGGATTGTGAGTACAGGACAAATTTGTTTTGTGTGTTCTGCCGTGAAGCAGTGGAAATGATCTGTTGCTCTTCCTCCTGTCTGCCACCATCTCCATTTTCTATGATCCAGAGGTCAGGTAACCTTGGCCTGTGTGGTGACTCAGTTTCCAAAGAAGCAAACAAAAAACATCAGTGGCACAAGGACAAGTAATGCTATCATGCCAGCCTCTTAGTATAATTTAAAAGTTCCATGTTTGAAAGCCACTAGGTCATC